CCGCCATTTGTAAACGCTATAACTTTCACGTAAACCAATTAATTTACACGTATTGGGATTTTTTTTTTAGCGCAGACATGGAGCAGTATACATTTTGTCCTAAATTTATGATGAAATTTGATTTTTAGAATTTTTTTACTGGACATATTTGATAGCAAAAAATCAAAAAAGTTTTTTTTTTCTCAAAATTGTCTGTCTTTTTTTTTTTATAGCGCAAAAAATAAAAAATACACAGGCAATAAAACACCAGTGAAAGAAAGCTCTATTCGTGGGGAAAAAAAAAGGACATACATTTCATTTGGGTGCAGTGCTGCATAACCATGCAATTGTCAATAAACCACTTCCCGTCCGGCCTGACAGGAGTATTGCAGGGGTGGGTGGCCATTTATAAACCTCTTCTCCACTCCCTGCTTGTGCGCACTCCCTGGGACACAGTGGATTGGGACCTCTGTGAGAGGTCCCGATCATGTGATCGCTGATTGGCCAGTCAGCGATCACATGAAGAATAGTAAGCAAGATGTCACTTCTGACATCATTGCTTACTACGTGTGAAATCTGTGAATGATCAAATAGGTCACATGGTACAAGGCTATTCACAACAGCCTTGTACCATGTGACAAGCTGTGACCAATCACAGCTCGCACAGTATTTCTCAATGGCTGCAAGAATGCAGACAGAGAGAAGGAAAAAATTATTGATTTTACAGACTTTATGGGTGTAAGAGCAATCAGTGTAAAAAAAAAATATTCATCTCCCCTCACAAGTATTACAGTGTCACTATGGTGACACTGTACTGCTAGAGTGACAGTATTTAAAAAAAAAACAAACAAAACATAAATAATAATATACAAAAATAAAATAAAAATGTAAACACATTTTGAAAAATTATAATTTTGGTTATAAACTAATTTGGGTTTTTTTTTTTACCAGGACTTTTTTGGGGTCTTTTTTTTTGGCCAGGATTTATGAAGAAAGATTTTTTATTAGCAAAATTTTATAAGAAAAAAAAACACTTTTTTTTCAAAATTTTTGGACCTTTTCATTTATATAGCAAAAAAAATTTAAATCCCAGTGGTGGATAAATACCACCACAATAAAGTTTTATCTGTCTCAAACAAATGCTAACAAATTCATATGGGTACAATGTTGTATGACCGCGCAATTGTCATTCAAAGTGTGATAGCGCTGAAAGCTGAAAATTGGCCTGGGCAGGAAGGGGGTGAAAGTGTCCAGACTTGAAGTGGTTAAAGTAATGCAACATCGCAATGCAAAAAACGGCCTGGTCAGGAAGGGGGGTAAATCCTCTGGAGGGCAAGTGTGGTGGCAACCCTAGTGCTACCGCCTACCACTGGTGACCCGTCCAAGAAAATGGGGCGTCTCTGCAAGCACTCCACAAATGCATTCTTCAGCGGGGTTAAAGCAGGTGGTCAGAAAGCAACACAACGCTGCCTGCTTTAACCCCTTGTTTGCTGGACTGCACAATGTTGCAAGGCACTTGCAGAACGGCCTCACTCACTTGAATGGGCCGTGCTTGGCAGTTGCTTTTTTTTTTTTGTTGAAAAATATACTTTATTTTTTACATAAGTATATAAAAAAACCCAAGAAACTTAATCGGGGTACCTTCCACCCTATACTGCGATGCAGCGCATAAATACACCACATACCAATACAGTTCCAATCATACAATAAATACATTCACTCAACAGTATGATGCCTAACGTCATGTGCAGAGTAAAAGGTTCCCCGAACCATCACGTCATGCATGACACTGCTTACCCCGAGACCGTTTGTGGCCCCTTGTAATAGTGATGCTGGGTGCAATTACTAAAAGCAAGTCATATACATGCACACAATCAACAGGCAGTCATACAGGTATTTTTAATCAGCATTTAAACCATTACATATTCTATGCATTGTGAAAGACCAACTACCCAATGAATACCTGCCCTGGCACATCATAGCATTCACCCGGTATTCCAAGAAATAACAGAATCCAACTGCAATATTCTTGCACTGCCAAAACCTCCACTTTTATTATCACACGACATACAGGAGGATATATCTTATAGTCATCAAAATCTGCATAATAACACACACCAATAATAATGTGAGCATTACAGCATGAAATAGACACATCATTTGACAGAGTCACAGCATAGAATTAATACATTACCGAAGCTATGGGAAGATGGGAGGAACAAATCCCATTGGAACCAAACTGCCCAGGAGGTCATGGAGAAGCCATAGGCGCGACCAGCTGATGAGCCCATATACCTTTGGTAAAAATCCCAGCGTCAGAGCGTCCTCTGGCCACTAGGGGAGCTTCTACTGGTCTTACCCGTACCTCCGCTTTATAAACCCTTTTTTTTGGAAGCGGTCCAATAGTGGGCGGAGCCACCAAACACAGGAGGAGCTAACAGAAGGGTTCCGCGAGGATAACAGTCATGTTCAACCACCACATTCGTTATCTGAAAAGTCATACTTTTGCTTCTTATCTACTCCAAAACCTCTTTTAATCTCCCCCAGACTTAAGGATTTCTAACTTAGATGTCCTTAAACAGGTTTTTTATCTCCTAATGTGAGGTTACTAGATGTCATAAACACGGTACATTCTATAATCAAGGTTTTATCTTGCTCTCAGCAGAATATCGTGTGACTCTGTTCCTTTGGCTAAAGAAATGACATCAATCACTTCTCATGCCCCTGGCATTTGGGCGACAATGCTTTATTGTAAAAATTACCCAAGAAACAAAGGGTCCAAGGCCAACACATTTCATAGGCATTACACCCCCTAAGGTTCCACCAGAGTACCTAGCAGCATGCAGTTCCTGGCTTAGACCCCTGTCCCCCATGTCCTACATGGAACTGCAACATAAACCGTAGCATGCAAAACATTACCAAATGAACAAAAGCAATTCAATAAGCAGCGGGTGTTATGGGGCGGAGGAAATAGAGCTGAGGGAGGTGGAACAGAGTTCACAGGCCCGAAGATTTATTGAAAGGACAAAAGACACGCAAGGGAGAGTAGGGGAAGGAGAAATCTTCAGACGTCCTGTTCCTCCTTGAAGTCCATCAAGTTATAGTCTCTGAGCAGACTGTGGACCAGTCTGTGACAGTCCCCAATGGACATCCTTTCCCGTTGGTGGATGAGGTGCTTCCTGGTGCACCATAAAGCGTCATTGAAACAACTCAGCACCCCCCCAGGCGCCGTCAATGTCCTTTTAAGAAAAAGTTCCACAGAAAAGTCTGGTCAACACACCAAAGTGTGTGATGGCTGCCTTTGGCACAAAGTCCTTGAGTTCTGGTTCCAAGGCCCTCAACAGGTCCTGAGGGAGGGGAAACAGAGTCCACAGGCCCGAAGCTTTATTGAAAGAACAAAAGACACGCAAAGGAGAGTAGGTGAAGGAGAAATCTTCAGACGTCCTCTTCCCCCTTGAAGTCCACCAAGTTATAGTCTCTGAGCAGACTGTGGACCAGTCTGCAACAGTCCTCAATGGACATCCTCTCCTGCTGGCGGATGAGGTGCTTCCTGGTGCACCATAAAGCGCCACTGAAACAACACAGCACCCGCCAGGCGCCATCAATGTCCTCTGGAGAAAAAGTTCCACAGAAAAGTCCGGTCAACACACCAAAGTATGTGATGGCTGCCTTTGGCACAAAGTCCTTGAGTTCTGGTTCCAAGGTCCTCAACAGGTCCTGAGCAAAAGAGTACTCCCATAAAATGTGCAGGGCAGTTTCTTCCTGGAGGATGCAAAAAGGGCAGTGCCTGTATCTGCTCAGGTTCCTGACATACATAAATGTCCTGAGTGGCAACCCCCCCTTGGATCGCTATCCATGCCAGGTCCATGTGCATACTGGGCAGGTGCTACAACCTGGGTTAAAGCAGGTAGTGAGAAAGCAACACAACACGGCCTACTTTAACCCCGTTTGCTGTACTGCACAAGGTTACAGGGCACTTGCAGAGCGGCCTCATTCACTTGAATAGGTCATGCTTGACAGGTGCTACACCCACCATCCATGACAGGGCGTATAACTCCTGCTGCATCTGAAACGTGAGCACCCATGGCCACTGCAGCTAAAGGGGGTGCGGTTGGGGAGGGGGTGGTAAAAAACATGTCTTAACTACGGGGTTATACCACCCCCCAAACTGCAAATGTAAATGAACCATTACTATTCTGAGCCCCCTATAAGGCTGCTTTCACACTGACGTACTGCAGTTTACCTGCACCGAGGGAGTAGCGCAGTGCATCTGCGACTTTCCTGGGTTAGCTGCACTTTGTCATAGACTTCTAATGTATCCTGCAGGTGTGGTGCACTTTCTGAAAGCTCCCCAAAACTCCCACATTCAGTACACCAAACCAGGATATAATAGAAGGCTATGGCTAAGCGCAGCAAACCCGAAGGAAAGCTGCAGGTACACTGCACTGCACCCGCGGTGTGGGCAAAAACCGCAGCATATCAGTGTGAAAGCAGCCCTATACTATTCTGCCCAGTGTATTGCTTCACACTGACCTGAAGATCTCCTCTTTCCTGCTGCTGGCACCACTCTAGAGGCTGCTAGCCAGGATAAGAGGTGGAGTGCAGTTGGTATCACTCTGCATGGGACAGGAGCCGGCACTACACAGAAGGCATGCGGCTTATGCGACTCTTGCTCCCTACTACAGCTCCAACTTTACAAGTAGTCCCTCTGCACTGCACTCTGTTAGATGCTCTATGATGGCGGGTCTGCAAGCCCAGACCGTGATCTACTGGTAGATCGCCATCTACAGGTTGCTGACCCCCGGTATATGACATCACTATTAACAGAATTTTAAATATATATATATATATATACTTTGTTATTATTATGGAACAAAGTCTTCTGTCGGCTCCGGTAGTTCCCCTAAGATAAGATCTCATGAAAACAAAATAAAGGTTCATGCTATTATTAACCACTTCCCGCCCGCCATATACCAATATGACGGACACAAGGCGGTTCTCTCATTCTCACCTCCCATTCTCACCGCGCATGCGAGGCTCAGGGGATCGCGCAGCGCTGCGATCGGTGGTGCGCTGTGTCGGCTCGGTCATGTGATCAGCTGTGTCCAGTCACAGCTGATCACATGTAAACAGGGAAATGCCGGTTATCGGCATTTCTCTCCTCTCGAGCTGTCACGCTGACAGAGGAGAGGAGAGCCGGTAATCGGCTTTTTGCGGAGGGGACATCTACACTGATCATCAGGGCACTGATGATCAGTGTTCCCTGATGATAAGTGTAGCCCCATCAGTGCCACCTGTCAGTGTTCACCAGTGCCTTGTGTCAGTGCTCATCAGTGCCTCTTGCCAGTGCCCATCAATGCCACATATCAGTGCCTACCAGTGCACATCAATGCCACATATCAGTGCCCATCCGAGCTGCCTTTCAGTGTCACCCATCAGTGTCTGTCAGTGCCACCTATCAATGCCAATCAATGCCACCTATCAGTGCTGCCAATCAGTGCCAGTCAGTGCCGCCTATCAATGCCAGTCAGTGCCGCCTATCAGTGCCAGTCAGTGCCGCCTATCAGTGCTGCCTATAAGTGCCATGTATCAGTGCTGCCTTTCAGTGCCCATCAGTGATGCCTGTCAATGCCCATCAGTGCCACCTACCAGTGCCCATCAGTGCCACCTATCAGTGTCCATCAGTGCAGCCTATCAGTGCCCATCAGTGCAGCCTCATTAGCGCATATCAGTGAAGGAGAAAAATCACTTATTTACAAAATTTTATAACAAAAACTAAGAAAAAACTTTTTTTTTCAACATTTTCAATGGTTTTTGGTTTGTTTAAGAAAAAAATAAAAAGTTGATTGAACACCAAAAACACAAAAAAAATGATAAAAATTTCATATGGGTACAATGTTGCATGACCGCGCAACTGTTATTCAAAGTGTGACAGCACTGAAACCTGGAAATAGGCCTGGGCAGGAAGGGGGTATAAGTGCCCGGTAGACTAGTGGTTAAAAAAGAATTCCAGGCAAAATTGTTATTTTCCCATGCAGTGGGGCTGTGCCCGCACTGCATGGGTTAAATGCTGTTCTTAGTCTAGGGGCTCGTAAAGCAAATATATATTTTACTTACCTAATCTGCCGATCCTCCGAGTGCAAGACCAGTCCTCGACACTCCTACCCTGCCCCCCCCCCTGCAAGCTAGCGGTCTTGTGAATGGGCTGTTCCTGACGTCATCACGCCCGTAGACTGACTTTGGATGTGAGGATAGCAGGAACAGTCCACCCCTGGACATGGGGGAGCACTGTTTTCCGGGGGATCGGAGGAATGGATAAGTATGGCTTTTCCCTAAACCCCTGGACACATGAGCACTTAACCCATGCAGTGCAGGCACAACCCCACTACATGGGAAAATGAACGTTTTGATCGAGTTCTGCTTTAACCCATTATTAATCCTGGTGTCCCATGAAACTTTCAACACACATTGTTGATGATAATTTTTATTTGGAATGAGTTAAATTTAGGAAATAAGAGTTTTCTATAAGCCATAGAGGACATTGATGAATGACAGATATATCTGGTTATTTAGGGACTTCTATGGAGTTGCACTGCACAGGGCGCTCATTGTTGGCTCATCAGGGTACTTCCAGGATCACTTTTAATAACAGCAACGGGACATTTTAAAACCCTTGGACCATTCTATTACATTGCCCTATGGAAGAACGCTCACATTACAGAAGAACGCTCACATTACAATCACACCCAGTGCTATGAGATTTGGGCATTCTAATGGTTCCATAAAAGGGCAAATAATTTAAAGCGTAAGTTCACCTTTTTGACAAAAATAATAAATGCACTTTTTTTTGCAGGTAAAAAAAATTTGACTTTATTTTGTCCAAAGGAGCCTGGACAGCATTGCACCAGAGATCAGTAGATCCCTGATGCCATGCAGGTCTCCTGCAGACCTGTCAGAATATCTGCTTGTCCGTACAGGATGTACGGGATGTACGGGATATATGGGATATACGGGATGTATGGAATGTACAGGATGTATGCGGTGTACGGGATGTACGGGATGTGTGGAATGTACAGGATGTACGGGGTGTATGGGATGTACGGGATGTATGGAATGTACGGGATGTATGGAATGTACCTGATGTACGGGGTGTACAGGATGTATGGAATGTACAGGATGTATGGGATGTACGGGGTGTATGGGATGTATGGAATGTACAGAATGTACGGGATGTATGGGATATACGGGATGTACGGGATGTATGGAATGTACAGGATGTATGGGATGTATGGAATGTACAGGATGTACAGGGTGTATGGGATGTACAGGATGTATGCGATGTACAAGATGTATAGGGTGTATGGGATGTACAGGATGTACAGGGTGTATGGGATGTATGGAATGTACAGGATGTACGGGATGTATGAGATGTACGGGATGTACGGGATGTATGGGATGTACGGGATGTATGGAATGTACAGGATGTATGGGATGTACAGGATGTATGGAATGTACAGGATGTACAGGGTGTATGGGATGTACAGGATGTATGAGATGTACAGGATGTACAGGGTGTATGGGATGTATGGAATGTACAGGATGTACGGGATGTATGAGATGTACGGGATGTATGGGATGTACGGGATGTATGGAATGTACAGGATGTATGGGATGTATGGAATGTACAGGATGTATGGGATGTACAGGATGTATGGAATGTACAGGATGTACAGGGTGTATGGGATGTACAGGATGTATGAGATGTACAGGATGTACAGGGTGTATGGGATGTATGGAATGTACAGGATGTACGGGATGTATGAGATGTACGGGATGTATGGAATGTACAGGATGTATGGGATGTATGGAATGTACAGGATGTATGGGATGTACAGGATGTACGGGGTGTATGGGATGTACAGGATGTATGGAATGTACGGGATGTAAGGGATGTAGAGGATGTATGGTGAAGCAGATATACTGACAGGAAGCTTCACTGAACTACCATGGCGCTCCACAGCACCATGGTGGTTCATTGAAAACTACAAGCCCACAGCCGCTAAGACTGCCAGGACCTGTAGGAACTCATTCACAGAACTCTGTGACGCAGCTGTGTGCGTGGAGCACAGTTGCACTGTTTTCAAATCTGATATATAGTACAGTGAGAAGTTTCCCCGTACTATCTGTCGGGGGGGGGGGGGGGGTTGAAGGTGGGCACAGCTGCATCTATAGGAAACTGCATGCACATTCGTCTCTCCGAGGTGAACGTTATTCCTTCATATGGGATAAGGTGAATCAGGGAAATATTGCATTATGACCACAAAGAATTGAATTCTGAATGTCTCTAATCATCAGCTCTATCCAGTAGCCATAAGGCGGTATTCTCCTGATTCCCTTTATTCTGCATGAGTGAATAACATTCGACCCGGAGAGAACATAGCCTAATAATGTTTGATTTTCCACATTTGCCCAGAATGAAAGTACAAGCAGCTCTGTAATTTTTTTTATATAAATACATCCCTTATAGTGTTAGTAAACTGTTTTTTTACTTTTACTTATAATAAAGCTTACCTGTAGGTAAAACGAATATCTGCTAAACGTGCACCAGCGCATGCGCACTGAAGGAATGGCATGCCCGTGTTGTTCCTTCAGAGCTGTGTGCCGTGGGATGGGACTTCTGCAGACATACGCAGGAGTGACGTCATCACGGCCTGGCCTGTCAGATGGCCGGAGCTTGTGAACCTGGAAAGAAGATGGCTGAGGATGAAAGCCACTGCAGCGGTGACAGCGCGCCACTGGAGGGCTTCATTCTAAGGTAAGTCTGCGATGCATACTAGCACATTACGACATTAACAGCTTAGGGACCGCCCCACCGTGTATTTACTGCTGCAGGGCAGCCCCTGTGCGCAGGATTCAGGTATGGGGCGCGCGTGAGGCACGCGACCGCCCTATCTGTGCGGGTGTCAATCACTAGGTCCCGGCCGGTGATTACCCGCCAGCGCCTGCAGATTACCGGCGATCACAGACAGGGAGGAGGGCTGCATTGTTTACAATGCAGCCCTTCTCCCTATCACTTTGGGCACACTGCTCTGGATGGCATCCAGATCGATGTGCTTTACAGTGAAGCACACCCCCCCCCCCCTAGTAAAACACTCCCACACAGTTAACCCTTTGATCGCCCCCCAAATGTTAACCCTCTTCCTGCCCAGTGCCATTAGTCAGTGTCAGTGCTTTTTTTTAATCACTGATCACTGTATTGGTGTCACTGGGGATGTCAGTGACACCAAGTCGGTTCCCCCCCAGTGTCAGAATGTTTGCCACAGTCCCGCCAGTGCAGTAGCGTTGGGTTTTTTCTGCCTTCTTTCTGTGTATTTCAGCCTGGTGATTCTTCCAGTTAGGGCTTCATCACACGGGGGGTGCTTCTTTACTACCCTCTGAAAAGTGATCTGCGGCGTTTGCGTTTCAGATGGTGGCATAGCAGCGGCTGAAAGTTTTTTTTAGGAGGCGAAAGTAGAGCCTGTTTTTTTTTTGTTTTTTTTTTCTTTTTGCTTTTTGTATTTACATTGCAGAACCATGGCACAACTCTGAGCCCCTGGCTCATGGTTGCAGAGCGGCCCTATTGAACGCAATGGTTGAGTTTGAAAGCTGGTGCCGCCTGTCAATGCTACAGCCTGAGTTAAAAATGCCACGACCACAAAGCAAAGCATGTGTAGGATTCAGATGGGCAGTCAGGGTGGTAAAATCACGGTGCCACCAGTTTTCGCTGCCTCCCAGCCACACATATGAACGGGCCCTAACACACTTCCTGTACAATCTATAAAGCATGGTTGCCCTATGACGCAAAGGTTTGTTGGGACTACAGAACACATCCTCCTGTCCACTGCTCTATAACATGAAGCGGAGGTGTTCTGTAGTCTTCAGAGAGAGCTGAGGACAATATAAGGAACAGCAAAGAGAACATAGTCTACCACAAATTACCTGGGAGCAGGGGCGGACTGACCATTTGAACACTCGGGCACTGCCCGAGGGCCCGGGGTCAGTAGGGGGCCCCATGAGATGCTCCCGGTACTTTGCATTGGCTTTTTCATAGGCTTTTTTGGATGTGCGAGGGGCATGGGGGCCCCATGAGTTGTCAGTCCGCCCCTGCCTTGGAGACTGGGAATCTGCTGCTCTGGCCCAGATGCCTGTTGAAATGTAGCAGTAATCCTCTAATACAGTGAACTCGGTAACATTCATTGCACAATTCCTTATCTGCTACATGGCAGGATAAAGCAATGACAAGCTAACGTGTTTCATCTGAAGCCTGACCCTAGGTTCACACCTAAGTGATTTCTGCAGCGTTTTGCATTTTGTAGAAATGCAGTACAGTCCATTTAACATGACTTCCTATCGGACATGTTCACATCTGCACATTTTCTCCGGGTGCTTTTTTTGGAAAGGGTCAGGGACATTTTGAATGCAAAAAGTAGCATATTTTGATTTTTGCTTCTATAGACTTCAATGGAAATGTTG